AAAAATCGAAGATCAAACTTGACCAAATTCTAATGAAAGTTTTCAACCAATCGGGAGTGGATCCTTCAGACTGATATGGCTGGCTGCTCTCAAAAAGTGAATGAACTAAATGTCCATTGAACAGCCGCTGAAAAGTGGACAAGAGATATAATAGAAGAGACAATGTAATTAGCATACTCGCTTTGTTGTGGCATAATGGGCCTACAGCTGTCAAGATACTGCCCAGACTATCTACGCGGCTATCTGTGCACAGAGAGAAGCTAGACAAAATGGTTTACCTGTAGTTGTGGCAACAGGTGGGGCTCCTGTGCTGGGAATCAATGTCTTGCATCGCTCACCAATAAACCCATCTGGGCAGCTAAACACAAAACAAAAATTCCTGTTCATTCAACGGCAATAAGATATCTCAAACTATGGAATATTCAGCGGCATTCTTGCATTAACAGTTGATGGAAGGTCATGTTTATGCTGAGTTTTGTGGGTGGAAAAAACTTCTGGGGGCTATGGGCACAGTGCTCGAATTACCTGCATGTGTATGTAAACTGAGGTAGGGAGCCAGACCTGATGCACGTTCCACCATTAAGACAGAAATCATCTGCACAGTCTGTCGTCAGAACATAGGTGCATGAAAGAACAACGGAGAGGGTAGTTAATTGACGGATGAATGAAAAATGTAGATTTCTGAATAACATTCTCTTTGCGGGAGCTACCACAAAGGATTTTCTAACTGTGCAGGGGTTGAATTTACTACTAAAAGAGGTCAAAGGTGAAAAAATTATATGACTTTGAGATTTCATTTGGCATTGCCAAGTTCTCCAGTTGATCACTTTCAACTTACACTTAATTTTTCATTGTTCATTCCTGCCTGAGATCAACGAAAGATTAATCAGTAACAAATAAAAAAAGGAATTTTACTCTGGACAGAAGTAATATTTGCAGCATAGATGACTAGTTCAGCTAATAATGAGCTCCAAAGTTATCATGTATATCTGTATATAAGCATACACAACAACAGAATTTTTAATTTTGTTTTTCTAAATTTCGAGAATGGGTAACTCTGTCTCATTTTGGTCAGGGTTTTGATAAGTGGTTCAGACACATGGGAGTAACTGGGACAAGAAACCTTACAAGTAGGCCGGTACCTGCACACGTGTTACCAGTGAAGCCTTGAACACACGAGCACTGACAAGTTGCAGCATTCAATGTTCCACCATTGGCACAGGACAATTCACAAACTGAGAAAGACAATCAACAAGGCATAGAAATATATGCACAGAGACTGGAACAAAGTGTTTCATCTAATTCCTGTGGGACAACATCAGCTCCCATTTCCTGATTACCAAGCTGGCATACCTAGAGGAAAAGCCATGGGAATTATTGGGAGGTTCCTTAACGTAACTTCCCTCTGCTCTGTGCTAAGAGGTAGTCAAATCAAACAATACCAATAAGGCCCAAATACTTGGCACCTCTCTCAGGCTTTCCCACAAAGTATCTTGACTTATCATGCAGCCTACCTGCACAGGTGTTACCGATCCAGTTACAGGTACCAGGCAAACACAGTTCTAAGGGGGAGAGGGCACTGGGACTCTACCCCCCAAAAAAAATTTGTCTAATCCCCCCCAAAAAAAAACTTGGAAAAAAAGGACCAAGCATTAGCAGAAGTGACAAGTAAAGGGTCTAGCCCCCCCCCCCAGAACTTGGCCCTAGAACTGCACCTGGTACCTGCAGGTGTTGGAATGCGGTCTAATATTGATGGAGATCAGGTAGGCTATTCTCAGGTCTCATGTCACTGTTTAATCAGCCATGTTGGATACACAATGTATATTACTATTGGATATATATTATACAACCGACTGAGTTGAACTAACGTATGCACTCTTGATGTATCCCTATTTTAAATAAATTGTATTATTTCTGTTTAATTGATTCCTGCATTTACAACTTAAGGTCTCTCCACAGAATGGATGGACGCTTTGATGGTGCAAAATGGGCACGTCTGTGCTGTGCTACTGAGTTCTGCTTGGGAACACAGAAAGTCCCCATTAAGATTGCTCTTAAATGCTTCAAGATAAAAAGAAAGATACCTTCTGGTGTGGTGGTCTTAGGAGTCTCTGCCGAGAGTGGAGTATTTGTGGTAACAGCTGCAATGAAAAAGGTTCATTTTCATTGGTTTTCCAGTTGCAACCTGTTTGTTTTAATAATCCTGCTGTGTCAGGTAGGTACTAGTAAGCTTGAGACATAAATTTGTCACTTTCTACATTTTGAGGCAGAGCTTCTGTCAGAAATTTCCACAAGCCAAAGTTTGGTAAG